AAGGCAACCAAATGCAACTTTTCTTTATTCATTATTTCATCTTAGATGAATGACTTTACAAATGCTTCTGCTGGATTAACATTAATAAGTTTCAAAATTTTCATGGTGACCTTTGATATAAGAGATCCTAAGGATACCAGTCAGAATGGAATACCAACTGGAGAAACTTCAGTGCATTAGTCTAACGATACATTGTAGGGTGAAAGGATTGCAATGATGTTCATATTATCAAGAAATTGCATTACATTAGGGTTGTTGGTGCATTACATGTACTGAAGCTATAGCAGCAATGGTAAGATAGTTTTACCTCTTCAGGATGGTTTGGAATTCAGAGTTTTCTTTTTCCTAGACTGGTTGCCAACTCAAGGCAAGACACCCAGTTAGCCCTGTTATTTAACCCATAGCTGGGGGAAGGGATGGATTTATACCTTTCCCAAAGGTATTTGTGCAGAAGCGTAACAAACTCACCTCTTTTCAAGTTGTTAACCATTACAAGCAAATCTGAAATATTAGAAAATAATAAAAGAAAGAAAATCACAAAGACAACAGAAAACGATTTTCGAGTGATATCTGCTGTTTATTTATATACTAAATCCAGTCTTAGACCGCAAATCATTGGATGAAATTTGGTTTTATGTCCAGAAGCAGTTGTTGGAGATTTTGGTTTCTGCTCTTTTTACCTGTTAGAAGTTTTTTTTTTTTTTTTTGGATAATGATAACAGTGACAGACATTTGACACTGGCATTTGATTCTAAAAGAATATCGTGTGTGTGTGTGTGTGTGTGTGTGTGTGTGTTAAAATATTAAACTGAGAGATATCACAGGCAACAGCATATAAGTAAATAGACAAACACATTCATCACTACAGACATACTAACTTGCATTCAGTATAGATCTTCCAAATTTAAAACCTAAAGACAAATTTTCTCATATAAAAAGCCAAGAAAAAAAGAAAATTTATAGAATCAAATTTTAAAGAAATCTAAGTGTGTGTGTGTGTGTGTGTGTGTGTGTGTGTGTGTGTGTGTGAGAGTGTTATTTTTTAAAAATTTCTTATTTTTATATCACAAAGATGAAACGTTCCCCACCAACATGACGCCTTCAATGGCCCACACTGGCAGGAAAGAAACAATATTATTTTTAAAGATTCAAATAGTTAAATGGTAAAAATTAAAAAAAAAAAATTATAATCAAAAAATTATATTGTGATCATAATCATCATCCTCAATTATTGTCAAAAAGATGAAATTTGTGTACAAGGAAAAATATTACAAGAAAATTAAAAGCATTTTTTTTTTCCAAAATATTTCTTGGGTTAATAAAACTGCTAAATTCTTTTGTCAGGTCAGAGTCAAGTCATTAAAAATGTCAATCATTTTAAAAAAAAAAAAAACAAAAAAAAAACAAAAACAACAACTTTCTTTTATTGTTCTTTGCATTATTTCGGTGTGTATTGTTATTAACACAGACCAATGCATTTCTATACATTTATATTCACTTTAGTATGTTTTGTGTGTATATATATATATATATATATATATATATAAACACACACTAATACACACGAACTGTAAAGGGGACCAGATTCACCAGAAAGAAATGGGAGATTTAAATTGAGAATGATGCCTGTATGAAGATCAAAAAAAAATAAAATGAGTAATTTACATCCACACACGTCTTAGCAGTCAAGAAAAAATATATGAGAAGCCACAAGCAACAGCAGCAGCATCTGGTAGTCTTTGCATAATGATCTGAGCTAGTGACCATGCCTAGACAGCATGATATATACTAGATATTTAAATGAAAAGAAGGCAGAGTATCTATACCTGGTCGATAGCGGAGTTGAAAAAAAAAAAAAGTCATTTACCAGGAAGTGCGTGAGTTTGTGTGTGTGGCTAAAAACGCGAACAGAATCTGGGCCCTTGTCTTCGCAGATGGGAGGCAAATCCATAGTGAAATAATTTAAGATGCAAGTTGTCTCCCTTGATTTGTTAAAAATCAAATTTTTTTGTTGTTCTTAATTTTATTTTTAATATTAATAACTCTTGCCACAAAAAAGAAAGAACTGATTAAGAAAATACTACAGAAGACGTGTCGTCTATTCTAGTTATCCAAATGTGGATCAATTAACAACTCAAGAGTTGCCTCCCTTACAATCACTTCCTAATTAACCTATCAACATGAAATATTTGCAATGCAAAATGATAAAAACTCTTTACAATTTTGGCACTTTGCACACAACTGACAATTTGAAAAAGCTTAATTCTCTTTGCTTTCAATCTGAATTTCTGTTATTTTCTCCCGTATTAATTTTCAGAAATCTAAAATTCTTTTCCCCTTTTCCAGATTCGTTTAGTCTAAGATGAGATTGGAAAGTTTAAGACTGGTTAAAATAGGAATAAAAAATAAAAATAAAATCAAGAATGGCTGCTAGAAATTGCCATAAATATGCAAACTGTATCACTCGAATAACAAGAAAAAATTTGCTTCTTTGTTTTAATTTCTCTGATTAAATGTAAATTTCTTTTTTTTATGACAACTTTTTTGTCTTCTTTCTTAACAGACAAAGAATTACAACAGATTTTTTGAAAAAAATTCTAGAATTTCCTTCATTTTTAGCCGAGAGTTTAGGCATTAGTTCTTTGTTTAGCTTTTTTCTTTTATTTTTTTTGGTTTTCTGTTTTTTGTTCCCCTTTGTTGTGAATCCAATAAAATGGACTTACCAAACAGAATAACCTTATGTACAACTTTTTAAGTTTATTGTTAGAATTGTTACATAATGAAAATCTGCAATGGAAGAGAGTAGAAAAAAAAGAAACAGAAAAACGGTCAAGTGTCATGAGAAGGAACACTAAAGCCTGGGATGGAGGAGGAGAGGATGGGTGCATGAAGGAGAGGAAAATATATTGAAAAAAGAGAAGTGTACATGATGGTGAATAGGAGGAACAAAGTGAAGAGAAAGTTTCACTTTTTTTCTTTTTCTTTTTTGAAAGCAATGACAAGCAAGGCGGTGAGGGCCATTGCAAAACATTTTTTTCGAAAATGAAAGGGGACAGGAATAAGAAATTTAAACCCAAATTTTTTTTAGGGTTGTTTGTGTATAATCTTTTACTACGTCAACAACAAGCAGCCACCCTGTGTATGACAGACGTAGCTGAAAATAACAAAAGCCACCCAAGGTCTGCACAGCACCAACGCTTTTCTGTTGACTAATTGATATGATAGCGTTTATGAGAGGCCATCTGTGTAGAATATCCGGTTGAAAGCGGCTTGGGTGGAGGCAAAAAAAAGAAACAATTTTCAATGCTTGCTTACACACACAGGCAGACACACACACACACACACACACACACACATTGAACCAAAAGACACATATGTACAATCAGAATTAAAATAGTGTACATCATTTTTTTTTTTTTTTCAATTCAGTTTCATTTTAAAGATATGTATCTTCAAAACCAACTAAAATTTTTATTTCTGCCTGTTTGGGGGTGGGGGCTTCCTAAATCAGCCTCATAAAGAATGGAAAACTCATTATCTATATTGTTTTCATCAAACCCACAGAATATTTTATTTTCTTAAACATTTTTATGGATTTGGAGAAAGAGGCGCCACTGAACGTTATTGCCAGTTCACTGCAAAAGCATTGACAATTAAAGATGGCAGTGTCAAGACACATACAGCTGAGAGGAATTCAAACAACAAACAAAAAGTTACCTCCTCCTCGACACCATCACAGATCTCCTCATAGAAAAGTTTTTGATATGGGAATAAAACTGATGAGCGCCTAGTGCTTTTTTGTCTTTTCCTTTTCTTTTTATAAAGTTCCCTTTATCCTTCACACACCCATCACTTACAAGTAACACCTCAACTAAATGTTACAGGTAACACCTCTACTACATGTTAGAAACACTTTACAGGTAACGTCTCTATGTTACACATTGTGGTTGGTGTCAGGTAGTTTCTCTTCCCCCACAAAGTCAAGTTTGCTTTTTTCATCATCACATACTGCTCAATATATGACTTTGTAACCCACCGAAAAAAAAAAATATATATATATATTAGTTCTGAAATATTTCTAATGATATGTTCATTTGTGGGCTGGGGGTCTAGGTGAGCATTTTGCACTGGGGAGACAGAGTGTGGGGGAAGAGGAACAAAGAAGACAGTGAAGGTGAGGAGGGAGGACATTCTGTTTGTCAGTTGTTTTTTTTTTTTTTTTGTTTTTTTTTAATATAGAACCTAGTATTTCACTCTCTTGATGCTAATTACACCAGCAGCAGCAGCAGCAGCGGAAGTATGGGGATGTGGGTGGGTGGTTGGGTGGGTGCTGACAATCCAGGGTCATCATAGAATTGCCTATGAAGTTTTTTTTTTTTTTTTTGTCTTTCCTTGGCTATAAAAGACAGACACGGAGGAAGAAAAAAAAACAAAAAAACTCCTGGTGAATAGTAATGCCATCAAAGAATTGTAGTTTTCAGAAATACTAAATGGATTTTACTAAGCTGAATGTAGTTTGGCCCAAGAAAGAACAGAGTTTAGGAAAATAGTTTTGAAGCAATCTTCCAACAGAAGTTGACCAACTTGCCTTAAAAAAAAATCAGCATTCAAAAATCCTTGCTTTTACCTGTTCAAACACTGATATCAGTGGGAAATATGCAACTCAGCCATAAGGCAGGCCCAAAAAGAGCTCTACTGATTATCAGAGAATAAAAATTTTATCAGAGCACTCCTCATTTTCTTTTTTTTCTTTTCTTACAGTAGTTAGAATTTTTAAATGGTCATTCATTTTATATTGATCAGAGAAAATGATGCTTAACTTCAGTGATCAATCAGGAACCAGTCTTTTTATGCTAACACAGTAAGTTTGAAGGAGGAAAACTGAGTTGTGGGGAAAGATGAGCAAAGGTCGGGAATGGGGTAGGGTGGAGGTGGCTATACACATCATTTTGTTCATTTTTTTTTTTATTCTTCTCATTTTATGGAAAGTAACTAGGTGTTTATAGTTGTACTTTGAAAGTCTTTACCTGTGCTGATTGTGTCGAGGGTTGTGATGCTTGGGACCCTTGGAAGGGATTATTTGCATTCAAACTGGCGGCCTTGGAAGCCCAGGTGACGTCAAAAGGGTCAACGTGTGGCCCACTATCTTTAGAGCCCACTTTCGACGTAGTGCCGGACGACGACAAAGCCGGCAGTGTGCTGCTACTCATTCCTGCTTTATTTGAGAGAGGAGGGGTGACCGAGGATGAAGAGGTGCCCTTACTGCTGCTGCTGCTGCTGCTGCCACCGCTGCCGGCATCGACACTCACTCCCCAGCCATTTCCTATATTTCCATTGTTGTGCCGGAAATTGCGCTGTTGGTTGGCAAGTTCTTGCAGAGTCAGCTTGTGACCCTGTTGTCGACTGGAGGTGATCAGCTCTCCACTGTCTATGGAATGGCTGCGTAATTGAACCAACTGCGGTGCACGAGGGGTCACTAGCTGGGAAGATGTAGACGTGCTGGTTGAGGTGGATGCTTGAAGCCTATCATTATTACCAAAAGGCACACCATTCACAGAATTGCTGAGAAACGGGTTTGTGTAAGAAGATGAGGCAGAGGAGGAGGGTGGTACCCCTGCCACAGGTGCTGCCCAGTTGTGGCTGCCTCCCCAGGGATTGCTCACCTCACCACTCTTCAAGTCACAAGCCTTGCTTGAAAATCCTGAAATAAAAAAAAAAAAATAAAAAAAATTAGGAAGGAACAAAGTTGACCTTTTGGCAGGGTTCAACTTTTTTTTCACCATATTCCCACAAAAATTTATATTTTTGTTTTTCTTTTCATTTATAGTTGTTAGGAGCAAAAAAAAAATAAAAAATAAAATAAAATAAAAAATAAACAAAAAACATTGAAATGTTTTGGAAATAAATATTTTGATCCAATGAATCTTTAAACTGGTCTCCATTCCTTGCAATCATTATTTCAAACTTTGTATTTAATGCAAGCCATACAGGTTATAACAGAAATTTAAAGAAACTAAAATATTAATGTTTGAAATATGAATAAATACAAAAAGATATTAGTTCAATTTTACTATAATTTTTATTTAAAAGAAGAAAAAAAAAGAATGGATCTATTTTTACTTATACATTTTGATAAATCACTTTGAATAATTTCATACATAAATGTTCCTATTGATTAATTTTTCTGCCCAAAGTAATTTTTATCAGAATTTAAGAATTTTGCTTTATACATTCATTTTTATATTAAAAATATTAACAAGTTCCAACTATTCACAATCAGAAGTTTTTAAAGTCTATATCAAACTATTTTAATTTACAATTATCTGCCTCAAGTCATGATAAATTTTTCATATTTATCATTTTTTAAATTCACCAATGTATTTTCAGTTTAATTTCTAAGTAAAAATTATAACTCATTTAAGAGTTATAATTTTTACTTTTGTCGTTTGTCAATGACTATTCAAAATTTTTATAACAAAAAACATACAGTTATTTTTATCAAGGCAAAATTGGTTCTTTTAAATCTGGATTTTAAATTTTGAGATAAAAATTACAAATATCTAAATTTAAATTCATCAAAATTAATTTTTCATTCAGGTTTCTTTCATTAGTTTAAAAAGAATCACGCAAGTTACATTTATTTTTGTTTTTAAAGTCTACCATTATTGGTGAGAAGTAAGAATTTTTACTTTTGGAAAAAATATGATAAAATTTTAATTAAAACTTTTCTATCATCTCATCCTAAAATAACCAAACAAGTTGCCTCCAGAAAATATGGAGCACTGTCACTTTGAACCAAACTATTTACCAACATTTTCTTTATTTGCATTTTTTTTTTAATGCCGTTGTTCAAAATAAATTCTTTTCATAAATCCAGAGTTAAATGACAGAATTTAATAAATTGTATTAAAAAAGAAACAATGTTTAAAATTAAAATAAATCATTGTTATCATTCTATAAGTTACTTTTAATAATAATCAGATTTTTACTGATGTTTTGTTGGCTTTTTTTTAATATTTCAGTTGATTCTCTCAACAACTTCAGGTTGAGCAAGTATGGTTGCTTTTTATCTTGTACATGAGTAAATCTGCAAAAAACATTCCAGACAAAAACAATATTATGATTAGGAATAATTACAATGTCTCCTTTGAGGAAGGCTGACAAATGTGTTGACCAAATAGAAGAAAATCAAAAAAATGATAGACTATCATAAATAGGCCTAGAAATTTAAGTGCCAAAAAATTAGTGACAGCTGTTTGATACATGTGACATAATAGGTAAAGAGATAGTAGCTGTGGCAGTGTAGCTGTGGCAGCAATAGTATTTAACAGTGTTTCACTGTGCAATGACTGTTCGAGTCAAACAGAAGTGTCACTTACTCTCTAAGATGGCAACTGCTTCAGGTTTTTTCATGGCCAAAAGTAGCAAGAGAATACAATAAATATGTCAATTCAAAACATATCAGTGGCCCATCAAATCTAGAGATGCTCATAAGTGATCTAAGATGGTTGCTATCGATTGACAACAAAGGAGAAGACTGCATCAAATTACATCCTAATTCAACACTTATGCTGTTCAACCCATCAATCAACACAATGTACAATGTACACTGCATTCCATGCAATTTTATAGTCATCAATCAGCAATAGTAACATTATTAACAAGGCAACATATGTTATGGCACCTAATCCTAGAAAGAAAACATTGCCACTGGAATTTAAAGAATTGATATTGTGTAACCTGGTCAAATAAGCTTCCAGCTCTTGTGGACAGATGGTTAAGTGCATGTGTGGAAGAGACCACATGATGTCATGAATCTAGAATATCAGCAGGGTGTTGTGCAAACCAGTGGTGCTTTTATAATGGTGTGTGTGTGTGGGAGGGGTGGTGTTCTGATGGCGTTTGCAAGAACTTGTGAAACTGGAGTTTAGCTTGACAGTTATCCCAAAAATAACAAATCTTGTTGCAGACCAGTTGCATCGCTTTATGCTTGCCGTGTTTCAGTGATGATGGCTTGTTTCAGTAAGAAAACAAATCTTCCACATCATGTATGGGTTAACACAAAACTGGTTCCAGAAATTGTACTTTATTGGCCACTAAACTGACCAAATTATGCTGCAGACCTCACTAAATCCCCTGCAGCCACACCCAATAAACACAACTCAGTTACAGACAGTCCAAAAATGTGGCTGCAATGCAACAACCCCAGCACCTTGTGGATAACATGCCATGCACTATAGCTTCGGCTATTCATGTAACAAGAGGAGCTACATCTGCTTAAGTAGCTGTCTCTAATTGTTTGGCATATTTCAGTTTAAAAATGTCAACTGCGAGAATTACATACAGAGTAAGATAACAAGGTTCATGCAAAGTACTTCAACTTCACTTAATCACATTTTTTGCCCATTTTGTTCATGAACAAAGTGAGTCTCATAAAATAGTTGTTGCTACCTTGAATTGATTGGTGTGCTGGGTTACTAAACATGTGAGTCGGACTCTGTTGGAATGAGGCCCCAGTATTGATGGCACCGGACGCTGGGCAGTGGAGGGACTGAAGTGTACTGTGGGGCACACTGGCAAAGGGGTCATCTGTGTTAAGAGCACGCAGACCCTGGGACAATTGTTGGCACATTTGAGCAACACTGTCTGGATTCTCTTCAGTTGGTGACAGCTCTGGAATTGGACTACCTACTGGAAAAAAGAAAAGAAAAATTCAAGTGTATGTGTATATATATATATATATATATATATATATATATATATATGAATGACATACACAAGAGTGGATCAATAAGTCTGTAGCCTGACAGAGTTTGACAGCTGAAGTTTGATTTGAAATTATCCCTGTTTGATCTAAGTGTTCAATAGAAAAGCATTGGGTTAAGTGCATTGGCAAGGAAGGAGATTATGTTAAAAAATAAAAAGTGCAATTATTTATACAAAAACTGGAAAAATGAAAACAAAAAATTAAAACAGAAATCAATAAATTCTATTTAAATTAATTCTTACTGCTTATAAATACAAAAGGAAAATTCATGTAAAAGTCAAACATCCATGATTCTTTTTATTAATGTAGACAAAAAAATAATTACTTCATCTGCTTGGATTTTTAACTTTTTAAAACTTCTTTTTTAGTACTTCCATGTAAGTAAGTTTAAAGGTTTATACTTTGTTCCCTGTTCAGGATCAGGTTTCTGGTTCCTTCTAAAATCTTTTCATTCTCTTTCACTCTTAGTGGCATTGTTACTTTGCTTGGGGTGAACTGATTAAAAATAAATAAATATATATCCAAGAGTCAAAAAGACTTTGGAATAATTGCATCAAATTAAGTTCTGCCAAATAATGAAGTTGATTTCTTAATATAGAAAAAAAATCAAACAAAATTCTGCTGAAAATCAGAAAAAATTCTTTTTTTCCACCTTTTATTTTTGGTTTTTAAATAGTTGAAAAGATTTTATGCTTAAATTTTATTTAATGAAATATTTCAATGTAAACTTTAATATCTACAGATTAATTTATATTGTTTAAATTGAAAATAGTATAAACACCTTCATTAAAAAAAAAAAAAGTCACAGACAATGTCTACACAGAAAATTGGTACTTTTAAAATACACACATACACACACAATTATAAAAAAAAAATACTTTAATTTTTCATGTCAGGATTGAAAGTAAATTCTTTATAGATTTTGTTATTTGAACCAGTATGCTCATTTTGGTTGTTAAACTTACGTTTCAGTCATTGTACCCTCCAGCCTTCTTCAGATATTTGCCATCATGCTCAGTAACCCTCTGGGAATTTCAAACAGAACCCTTTATTCCATCCATGGAGGTAGAATGTTCTCATTCTGCTTTCCATGCTTAGGGAATATTTCATATCAGTTATTACTCACTTGTCTTATTCATTTTCATGTCTTGTCATGAAACAATATATCCCCTCAGCATAGATATTGGAACAACAATAATCTAAATCCGTGGATTGAATGAAAGGTTCAGTTCAAAATTCTAAAGTTACCAAGTGCAACAGACACCTGAAGAAAACTGAAGAGTAAAAGAGTAACAACCAAGAGGAGTATGCTAATCAGAATGGAAACAATAGATTAATGATAATTCTTACTCTAAAAGATTACAACATACAAAATTATATTTTTTTTTCCAGAATATTCTAGAATCTGAAGATACAGACTTTCTTTGTGTGCTGATATTGTTTTTCAAAGATTAACAAATCAATGTCTAGTTAAAAGTTTATATTTAATCATTCTGGATAAAGCAACAAGTTAACAAGAGAAATTAAACAAACATTAAAAAAAAAAAAGTCCCTGAAGGAAAAATACACATCTAAGTTGCTATTAAATTCAAATCTAATAATGAAAAAAAAAAAAGTTTTTATAACAAAACTCTTCAGCATTGTAATATCAACCAGATATGGAAGCATTAATGACACCATCTATGTTTAAGTCAGTAAACTCATGTGTTTAGTTTGTTTGATAAAACAACAAATATTTATTTATTAGAAAAATAAGGATAAATATTGTTCAATACTTAAACTTTCTATTAATTCTATGATAATTTTCTTTTAGAAACAAATTTCAAAATCTCAAAAATAATATTTATGAAATTGTCAATTTGATGAAAATAAATGTAAAACTATAGTTGATGAAACTAAGATAGAAAACAATATTTGATACAAACTCTCCTTTTCTGAACCAAATGAAAATACAAATTGTTTCTTTCAATTATTTGGTAGAAGTCACTTATTATTTTCCAAATAATTTTTGCTCCAACAGAATTATTTCTTTCCACGTTTATTTATTATAGAAAGTTTATTTGAACTCGCATGCTTATTTGTTAAGAATAAAAATTGCCAGGCGACGCTTGCATTTGGTATAAAAAAATATTTATCCTGTTTGCTAAAGGGAAATAACTCTATAGATTAACTGTAATCTATGTACAAGGATTGCTGAATAGTTTTCTGCTTACCAAAATACCTTTAAAAATGTTTAGTTAGATATTGGGAAGTGGGTCGAATCAAAAACTTTCAACACCTCTTTGTACTGTTCAGTTCCTTCAGATGCTAATAATCTTTATCTAAGCCAGAATTTTAGAAGTTTGTTTTCAATGTAAGTCCTCCCCATAAATAGAAAATGGTTAAAAAATAATTTGCTGTTGACTAAAAGCTCAGCTGCAGGAATATCACTAATGATATCTTTTATCAATAATGTAGAATTCCAAAGATTTATTTTATTTTATGATTATGTGTATTATTCTATATTTACATGATAGCAACATTACACTAACTGCTTGCCTTCCATGAACAGAGTGGAATGCAGTATTTATGATAAATTCACAATATCAAAAGAGATTTAATAAAATCCCTTGAGATATAGGATAGTAAACATTTTCAAATAATTAAAAAATTAAAATATTTAAAAATGCTTGTTGTGAGGGAGAATTTGAGAAGGGTAAATCTAGTGCCTCAAAAATAATTTGAACCTGACAAGATCAAATTTATTCTTGAATGAAAAGATGTCTCACTGGATAAAATCATAGGAAAAACAAGATTTCATATGCAGTTAGTTTTTACATTTTTATGTATGAAAAATATTACATAAAAACATATCTGAATAATAGTATGTAAAGAAATATTCTTAATTCATATTAATACAATGTTGGATAGTTAAAAAGAATAATAATCAAAGTGATAAAAAGCTGTATGAGGCTACATTGAAAATTAATATTTAAATATTGAGTATCTCTGTTCTTTTAATATTTTGATGTAAACTGCAGATAACATTGATTATTATATATATATATATATATATATATATATATATATATATATATATATATATATATATATATATATACACACGATAATGCATTGTGGTGTAATGAATATCGGCTGAAAATGAGAAACTCTGAGCAGGCAAGTTTGAATTCCAGTTGAGTTTATTATATTCACTTATGTGAAAATAGCCTGAGGAAAAAAATCCATCTCTTCTCTCCCAGCTATATGTTAAACAGCAGGACAGACAGAGTTCTTTAGCCTTGGTTGGCAACCAGTCTACTGCAGAAAGCAATGACAACCTACTATGGGAAAAATCTTTTGCCTCATCATTGAAAGATGCATGATCACCTAAGCAGGTCTGCTGTGTGACATTTAACTGACTTTATATATATAAACTTATCTTGAGTGAAAATGTTCTTTTCTGACAAAAATGTATCAGAACATTATCTTTCAACTTCTCATTTTTATTTTAAATCAGAATCTGGTTTAATTAATTTAATTACTTCATGCACATTAATAGATAATGAAAGTCTTATAATAATTAGACAAATTTCAGAGTACTGCTCATCAAAGTGAATAGAAAAACCTCATCAGGTGGAATCAGAACCATTGTTTACTCAAAATAATAACCAACCCTATTTACAGTTAGACTAATATCTTAATCTTTGTTTCTTATAGCAGCATTTCAGCCATTCTGCTGTCCAGCCTACTTCAGATGTTTGTCAATCCAGGTAAACTTTAGAAAATTTTGAACATAACACATTCTTCAATCTGAGAGGTATCCATAGATATGGACAGCATACTTTGAATAAAAGGTTCAAGTTTGAAATTTTTTGAAGGTCATCAATAGACTTCTGAAAAAATTCAGGTACCACACAATGACCAAAATGCTGTGAACAACAAAGACGAGGATATTAATCTGACTGCAGATAATAATTTGTCATCCTAGAAATTCAAACAGAAATAATCAACACTGTCTGATAATTATTGATCAGTTGCTGCTTTCAAAGTTGGTTTGAAATATTTGTTCTGGAAGAAGTGGTCAGAAAAATCTGGAATAGCCTGTAGTGAAGAAGATAATATACAAAAACTGAAAAACAAGTTACATTTACCACAATTTTTTTTTCAAAAGTATATTTTTTCTTATTTTTATACATTTTTGTAGAGAGTTCTTTACTGAAATCTCAGATTCTATCAATAAATTGATTTTCTGCTGCAAGTATTTTAAATATGTAATCTCTCCTGGACAAGAACAGAAGGAAATTGGGCATATTCAGTTCGTATGACTTATTTGAGTATCAACCACTACAATATACTACTTTATAACAAGTACAATAGATTTATTTTCTCACTGAAATAACTCTATATAGTGGCCTCATCCATATGCAGACGTTTAAAAAAAAAAAAAAAAGTCATGTATAGTTAGAATGATTTTTAAAAGCTGCCCTATCAGGCGACAATTAAGCTAGTTCTTGCAGAGGACTCTTGATGGGGCCTTCATCACAATAGAAAAGGAGGAGTAAATGCAATAGCCAATAACAAACAGAACTTCTAACTGATTACTGTATTATATTAATATATTTAAGCTAACCTTTTAAAAGTTCAACGATAATTCTTCTGCCGTCACTTAATTTAAAGACAATTTGATGTACGTAGGTCCTTACTTTCTGTACGAACAATTTTTTATTTCATGAGTGATTTTTGCTGGATTTCACAATTAATTTTGATTATTCTCAAATTTATTTCCATGTTATAAAAACTTATCATACAAAAAATTTTGTCACAAAAAATCACATTAAAAAAAAATAAATAAATAAAATTAAATCGCCTAAAATAATTGCAGTAATGAAAACTTGGGAATTCAGAATTTCAGGATTGCAGGTCTGGATCCAGCCTGTAATGTTTTTAATTTGCTCAGAGTCGGCCTGATTCCAAAGTGGTATGATATGTTGGGCTACAGCCTCTAGGAGTAAATTTGAAAACATGGACAATTTTATTTTGAGACACTGTAATTTGAGAACAGTATTTTTTTCATTTGAACATGAGCTATTGAAAGTTAGAGATTTGTGTCTCTTGAATTGTTTTTATCAGTAGAAGTCAAAATGACAGAATCCAAAAACAATCACAATAATGAAAACTTGGGAATCCAAAATTTCAGGATTGCAGTTCTGGATCCAGCCCAGAATGGTTTTAATTTGCTCATGAAGTCAGTCTGATTCCAAAATGGTAAGATATGTTGGGTTACAGCCTCTAGGAGTAAAGTTGAAAAAGTGTGACACAGTGACACACTGACATTTGCATTTATTATATAGATGATTAGCCAATACAAGAATAAGACAAGTAGGTACATTTTTTATTTATTGGATTCTTAATTAAATGTGTTAAATAACAAGAGGACAATAAGAAAATAAATCTGGTAACATTAATTAACATAATTAATTGTGTCTAATAGTAAATTTGGTAATATGGTTTTTTGATTTTGATTTTTTTTTTTTTTACAGTAAGGTTCACCCTGTACAAGGCCCAGGGGGGCACTCAAGGTAGAGTTATATTAAGGGGTAGTTTATATGAATAGGAGGGGCACATAACAGTTAACTCTAGTCTTGAACAGGTTAAGATTGTAGTGATTGGGGAAACATCCTCTTGGGAGTCTGTCCCACAGGTCAGTGGTTTGTGGAAAGAAGCTGTTTGAATAGAACTTACTTCATGCTGATGGAATACAGAGGGAATGTGGATGGTTTGCTATAATGTAAGTGGCATGGCGGATCCTAGTTGTGAAGATTAGAACTGGCAGAACATAAGGAATATAGTTCGCCCAAGCACTTTCCATGGAATTAGCAATAGAGCAGTGAGAGACTCACCACATTCCACCTGTGAAAGAGAGGTTGGAGGGTGAAAAATAATAATTCTCTAACAAGGACTTGGAAATGTATTTGAAATCTATCAAGACTGGAAAGTGAGGTCCTGGCAGCTCCCACCCAAATATGGCAACAGTACTCCATTTTTGGCCTGATCTGGCTTTTTTAAAGATAGAGGATAGCATAAGCAGTCAGGTACTAAAGCGGTACAGGAAGCCAATCATTTTACCTGCATCTTTAGCAATGGACTGTATATAAGTTCCACTTGAGTTTGGGTGATTTTGACATAGTGGTAGAATTATTATTATTGTTTTTTTTATACATTTGCTGTGATGCATTTTCTTCTCTTATTCTCAAGACAGATGTGAAAAAATTGTTCAATGAGTGAGATTTAATATTTTTTGAGTTTTGGCTTCTCAATACCAAGATTATTTTATTAAAAAAGGAAATGATGTTTTTATATATATATATATATATATATATATATGTGTGTGTGTGTGTGAGAGAGAGAAACAGAATGTCGCCACTCGGTATTGATCTCGGTGTCCACTTTTGTCTTTGATATTCAGTCCTTTTACCCATAAATATAGTATTATTTAAAACTACATTTTTATAATTATATATAATACATAAAAGCTTACTGGTCAGAGTTGAATCAGATCAGGAGACAGTGGTAGCAGAAGGTAACAGATTCAACTGATTTTTATATATATATATATATATATATATATATATATATATATATATATATGCAGCAAAAATACATTTAAACAAGGATTATTATATTCAACCAACAAAGTCTGCTTGTTTAATTTTGTATTTTTTCCACTTTTCAAATGAGTTGTACAATCATATCAAAATTGTGGATAAACTATTCAAAATTCTAGTTTCAACCATTTTGGCCATTATCAGTAACTAAATGCCTGTATTGAAAACAAGAGTTTTGTTGGTCACATCCTAGCATTTTTGGAAAGATACATAAATACGTATGTATGAGTGATTATTATGTGTAGAATAGTTTCACAGTGATTGACAACATTGGTCATGAGTTTTAAATATTTTATTCTAGCTTGAGCAGGTCATTTATAAAATAACCTGCCTGAAATTCAAGACTGAGTCTTAACTCCTAACCTGAATAAATCAGATAGTAGAATCAGTCATGATACCAAAGCACTATGCAGACTGAAGCTGAATCTATTTGTTCCTGTGGGTGAGTCAGTGATTTCTTATACAACGGATACACATTGTCCTAATAACTAGAATCCATTACGCTGATCTGAGCATGTATGCAAGCAACCTAATTATCTGAATTTATAATTTTAGTGATGAACTGTGTTGTACTTGGCTTATTCCTTTGGCATAGAAAACAAAAAAAAATCAAAAGGTTTTTGTTGTGTTTCTTTTTTTAATTTCATTCCGTTCATTTTCACTTAGCAGGAGAGAAAAATTTTGCTTCTTATTTATTATGATTTTATTCCTGTTGTAGTTATTCAGTCTATGATTATTATCATCATGGCTGACAAGATTGTGTGTAAGTGATGGAGACTCCTGTCATCTTCAATATATGGGGATCCAACAATTCAGCTCCTAGAACTGAACAGTCAGAAGACTTGCCCATAAAATTTGATTATAGTGGTGAAGGCATCCACACTTTTTGGAAGAATTGAATAGAGAATTGGTGTGCCACAAGGTCCCCCCAAACATGCCTTCCTCAAGTTTTAAATGCAGAGTTGCCTTTCTCCTACAATGGTTGCCAAGCAACATTAGATAGCCCAGTTTGTCCTACTATTTAATCCATAGCTAGGGAAAGAAGAGATGGATTCATACCATTTGCATGTAAGTGAATGCAACAAACTCAAATAGAATTTCAACTTAGCCCTCTGATTTCCCATTTTCAACCAATATCCATTACATCACTCACATTGTGTGCATGTTGAACACTTCTTGTTTAAAGTCTAGACTATTTCTGGCTAAAAGGCTACATGTTTTGTTGTCATGTTCTTTGATGAATAAATCCCCAAAAATAAACTTAAATTTTACTACACCTTTCTACAGGTATGAGTTCTGTAATGCAACTTGATTTAACCAGATTGTGCCTTTAGCTAGCATATAGGGATCTTACCTCCAACATTTGGTGGGGATTCTAGAACAGCGTTCTGTCGTTTTAAAGTTGACGGCAGATCGCTGAGTCTCAGTGAAACTGACCGCTTAAAAGGTGAAGAAGTTTCATGCAACTTTTCAAATCCACGGAAGGATCCCTGCCGTTGGAGTAGGGATTGGGTAGCATGAGGCCGTTGTACAGCATACGGATTATCCACTTTCTTTACTGGAATTGGATCTGCAAAATATTTGGCAGCAGAAATATGGTCAATATTTGAAATGGAACCTTATAACAAAAGACATCAGTCACACACACACACATTACCAAAAAATACTTTCTGCTAGATTATTCAGGACTTTTCACTGAATTTCTACTACAATTATTTACATTCTCTTCTATAGAATGTAAAAAATGTAAGTTAATATTTGAACATTAACAGATAGATTTTTATGATGGCATAAAACTAAGCATATAAGTTAAAAATTTACATTAATTATTAAATTATCATAGATTTTATTTATGCTTGTCACAAAGGCTTAAAATAATTTTACTGCTTTTCATTTAGACAGTTCAATTTAAAAAATAATTTTTCAAATATGAAGAAATTTTAAAATAATTTTAAAGCTTTTTTTTTAAAGTAAATAGTTCTATGACAAAACAGTTATTGTGAAATGTCTTCAAATGGAAAAGCTATTCTTTTAGTTTAAGAAAATGTTAAATATCTGCTTTTCATTTATTAATTAATACAAGCTGTCACATGCAATTGAGAATTTTAATAACTTCCTTTTATAATTATTATATTTATATAATATAGAATTATCAGACAAAATGCTGATAAAAACTAAATTTTAATAATAACGAAACTGTGTGTAATGCTCAACCATTGTTGATTATTTGCAAGGAAAGAAGGTAAAAGTCAAGAGGCACAAAATGAAAGTGGGTCCACATTGCTATGGTGGTGGAAGGCATAATAACTAAAATGACCTAATGGTTTAAAAGTTCAACATTCCATATCTGTTTTATTTAACAAAACACTTAAATGAAGGATTGTTTCCAAAATATACTAGGTTTTATATATATATATATATATATATATATATTTATTAAAGACATTTTTATGTTTAACGTTCTTTTTTATAGATACAAGTATTTAAGTAAATGCTCTGTTTATAATAAACAGTATTAAGTAAATTCGACCTTGTCTACCGAACGCTCCTTTGTGGCTGGTCGGTAAGGCACGTCAGCATAAATGACGGTTCCGTATAGGATGCAGGTTCGAATCCTGTCAAAGGACGAATATTTTCTATGAAAATTTCGGACATTGAGGCGGTAAATGTTATTTAATACTGTTTATTATAAACAGAGCATTTACTTAAATACTTGTATCTATAAAAAAAGAACGTTAAACATAAAAATGTCTTTAATAAATAAATTGTCGGACTTTGTCCATTTCTTTATATATTTAAAAGAAAAACAGACCACTTTAAGTTACCATTATAATAATTTATTTCACATAAAAAAATGAAATGAAACAAAAAAAAAGAAAAAAAATGATTTTTTTTTTTTCATTTCATTTCATTTTTGGAAGTGCTATCTGATGATCCGGCGTCCTTCAGAAGGACTCTGGTGAAATAAATTATTATAATGGTACCTTAAAGTGGTCTGTTTTTCTTTTAAATATTAGCTCTGGATTTACAGCTCTCAGGATTTCATCCTCCTTGGGATTACCCATACAGATTACCAAGTTCTTCATAACTATATATATATATATATATATATATATATATATATATATATGTGTAACAGCATAGGATAATTGTTCATCCAACAAAATGTTTAATATCTAAAAAAAAAAAAAAAAAAAAAAAACTAAGCTAATTGAATTTCTTTTTACTGATTTTCTGATGTTTAGCCATCTTGATGCCATTTGTCATAAGAATGATTGAAAAACTCAGCTAGAAAGAGAATAGATTAAAATCATTTTGTGTCAGCCCCACTATGTCTTCCCTATTGAGCAATGGCTAGAGGAAAAAGATAATTCAGGCCTTCAGTAATGGTATGAACATTTATACTCTGGCTTCTATCTTCAAAGTCCATTCAAGAACCATCAAGAGAACGGTGAATATGTTTTAAAAAGAGGTAACAGTAGAGAAGAAAATTGGATCATGAAGTCACAACAAGAGGGATCATCATTTCAACTTAGACCTAAATATATTCTTACTGTTCAAAGTAGAGTCCAATAGTGTTATAAAAACCTTGGAGAATTCCAGTAAGATATCTTTAATCATTTCTAAGATGCAACAGTTCAAAGTTTAATCTAACAATAGTACAATTTTGTTGTTACATCCAACGTGTGTGTGCATATATATATATATATATATATATATATATATATATATATATATATATATTCAAATATTCAAATACAAATTAATTAATTTTTCTGGCCAACAATTTGTTTTAATTTCTTAGACTGGTTGAGATGGACTAATTTCTTAATAATGATAAAATAATTTTCTAAAAGTTATGGCAGAATACATTATTATTATTAACAATAGTAAAATAAAAATTAGTGAATACCACTACAAAAAAAAAAAAAAAAAAAAAAAAAAAATCAACACAAAAACAAAAATGAAGTTTTTGTTATATTAGTTTGCACTATGTAAAAAGTAAATTTTTAAATCAGTTTTTTTTTCTGCAAATATCTGTGAAGGCCCGTGTGTTAGGGGATGAAGGTACTCTAGATATTACTATGTACTTTTTTTTTTTTTATGTATCATTTTTGTTACATTTCATTACAACTGTCCCCTTCATTGACTCATTCATTTGTTACTCACAGAAGATGATGTTCAAAAACTTTTCAATTGTCAAGGTTTTACTTTAAAGATTTTGATTTCAAAACCCACAAAAGAAATCAGCAAAAAAAAAAAATAAATAAATAAATAAGTAAAAAAGCAACAAAATTGATAAAAAATGAATCCAAACTTAAATTATGTGGAATAAATGGTGTCTAGTCATTAATCTATTCAACATTGTTCAGTTCTCTTCTTTGTAGAATTGTTGTTGTTAATACAATGTTCTTGTCAATCCACTTTTCATCTTTTGCCAGGTGTAATACATGAAAACAAAGAGGGGAGGAATTTGGCTTTTTCTCATGGATTACATCTAATAAAAAGTGAAGAATGGATTGGTTGAAACATTGTACTAATAACACTAACTAACTAATAACACTAACTCTACAAAGGCAAATTTTTTAAGCCATGACAAATTTACATTTGCAATATTATTTTGCTTTTTGATAAAAGTTTTAAACATTTTTAAAAAAATGTCCATGCCCCACCAAGTGACAAAGAAACCCAAACTTGACAGCTGTTTACATAAAAAGCAAATATTTACAATAATAAACATGGGAGGATATTTGACGCAAATTCTTAAACTTGCCAGAAACAAGATTTAAGCCACAAACATTCCAACAAACACAAAAAGTAGAAAGAGCTGCAGATTCTTCAAATTTTGATTAAAAACATTTTAGGGCAGCAAACAAATTTTTCGATTTGGGGAGAAAATGTTCAGATGAGTTTCAAAAATTGTGAATTAAGAAACAATCAGGTAAATGACAATTTTTCTTAAAACAAACTATAAAAAAGATAGATATGTGAATTTCATTAATTCATACTGTAAGTATATAGGTAAATTTTATTGCATTATCAACATTGTCCCTTTTATGTCAAAAATATCCAAGTACAGATGGCCTCAACTTATGTTTTGTTTTTTTAATTTAAATCAGGATTTTCTTCAAAATGAATAAATACTGAATTATTTGAATATCTATTGGCATGGGAGATGGCCAACATGCACAAAATATGTATGTGTTAAAAACACTTTCACCACTTTGATTATATTAATCACCTTCATTCATGTCTGATGCCTGAATACTTTTAAAAAGAAAATAACTGAACAATATTTAAATGTTACTTTTGTTAAACAAATTATGATGTGTAACAATATGATTCCTCACACATCTTTATTAGATAAGTATATAAATTCCTTCCTCAGCTATCTGAGATTTGTAGGAATTTTATTTCCAGTCTATTTTTGAGTGAACTTGAGTGTCAGTATTTTCAGGATTCATGTCCCCAGTTCACCTTTGAATTGGGAAACATTAAAATTTTATTTTAGATAGTCATAAAAGTAGACTTTTGAAGATTTGACTACCTAGGTGGTTTTGAGGTAGTCTCAACACTTCTGGATGGGAGGATTGGACCCCAGGATTATCTATATAAGCAGAGAGAGAGAGAGAGAGAGGCAGAAAATTAGGGGGGGGAGTGGTTCCAGCCATGAAAAAAGTAGGTAGGTGACCAGAGGAGTTAAGAGTTGCCCAGCAGCCAGTGACATAAAAACCAGAGTTGCCAGGCCCAGAGGTCAGTGAAGTTTGGGAGATAGCAGTTCAGCCAAAGGGAAAGAAGATAAGTGTCGGCTAAATGAGAAATCACATTGTTGTGAACTCCCAACCAGTGTCTTTAAAAACATTTGTTGTCACTAGTATTTGTTGAAAGAAGAAGACAAACTGGTGCACATAGCAAGTTGGGTGTATATGCAAATACACTCAACCTTGGATGTTATCAAAGGTGCAGGGAATGATGGACAAGTAGAGAATGTTATCACAATTCCACCACAAATGGCATCACAGATGGACAACAGAAAGTAGAGATTTTATAAAACCATGGAACATAATATCAATCATCATCATTTCCTTGAATCCAGTTCTTTTATTGCCCCCTCTCTGTTTATTGCCCTTTCAGTAACCCCCCTTGTGTTATAGTGGCTTTTATTGCCTTGTTTGGAGTGAAATGATGTAAAAAAATAAAAATTAAATGAACAACCATTAACCAATCAAAATTCCAGGCTTCATATGTGTGTTGTAGTATTGGAAGGTTAGCATGTACCATGAGCTCCTTTAGGAGAACCAGATGCTTGATTTGAACAAGTACTGCTCCAAATTAGACCTACAAAGAGTAGCAATTGATATAAAAAAAAAAAAAGCTTGTGTATTGAATTAGTGAAGGGAAAGGGTATAATATAAGGGTATTGCTCAATTATTAAAAAAAAAAAAAAAAAAAAAAAAAAAGCAATGCTTATTCTGACTTTATCAGGAAATTTTGATCTATCCACCATATTCAAGAAATATTGCACTTTAAGATTTTCACTTACTTCAATCTTTACAAAATTTTCTGAATGAAAACAGATTTCAATTCCTTGAAAGACTACAGAAGGCTCCTAGAGCAGGTATTCAACCACACGCCTTCTTAAATAGAATGCAACAAAAGGTCAACTTTAATGTTGGTTGGTTGGTAGCGCACACTCTCACCCAACCTGTCAGTCCAGAAGCAAGATTGTATCCATCACTGACTTGCTAGGCCTGTAATATAACTTACAGTACCTGGAATTACCCAGCAGCCACTCATCTAAGTACTGACCAGATGAAAATGGATATTTCAACATGATATGGCCATAACCATATGTGAACTGGAAACAAAAATTAATCAAGCCTTTTGGTACTTCATCTTTTGGGGACCCTAAGGGGAGATATAGCCTGACTGCATTTTGTTTTTTGGGTTTTTTTTTTTACAAGTGAATATTGCATCTACAAATTTGATTGGGGGGGGGGAATGACCAGATACAAGTCCTACTATTTAACTCTTAACTTGGGTGAAATTGATGGATTCTTTTCTTTCTCAAGAGTATTTGCACACAAGTGAATGTAATGAGCTACATTCTGAAGAGAGCCATCTGTTATTAGACAAAAAAGGTCACAAATATCTTACTGAAAAACATGCACAAAATCAATGCTAGAAATGTGCAAATGTTATTATATGAACTGGCCATAATGCAACGAGAGAGACAAAGAGACCAAATGAGAAGATAAGCGTCATTATAAACTGCTCCTACCCCTACTACTGCCACCAATGAATCTATAGACTCAATCTCAAATAAAGTGCTCAAATTATTACAAATTTTTACTCCTTATGTACTTTTAAGTTCTTCAACTTGTTTTCATTAGTAAACGACAGTTTGTCAGTTTGTGCGGTGAAATTGGTTTTCAGCAGAAACAAGGAGTTACCATGACCACAAATAACTCACACATGAAATCTTCACAGAAAAACCATGTCCACTGGGCAAAATCCACATAAAATCTGGTTATTTCCCAGCTTGCTAATATCGACATGTAATGACTGTGAAGATCAAAAACAGCACCAAATGAAAAGAATACATTTTTGGTAAAGCTGAGGAAGGAAACAACAGATCACTGAAACAAAATGAGAGGGTGCAGGTTATAGAATGACAATGCATATAAGTGAATTTGGATCTAGGGAACTGCTGGGTGAATATATAATGTGGAGGAGGGGCTAAGAAATGAAAGGATATGTGGGAAAGCAGGAACTTAGAATCAGAAGCTTTTTCTACAAAGTTCTTAAGACTATGAAAAATGGAAATAATAATAAAATATAAATACCGTTTAGAGTGTTACCTGCGAGAATAGCACTCTGAGGATCGGCAATACGTTCGGTGATGGACGCTTGTCGAAAGGAACCCGTGCGTGTGAAACTGGTACGATCTTGGTTGTAAGTCACGTTCACCCCCGATTCTTTGTCTCGTTTTTGTTTACGTTCCAAACAAATTGCAAACGCACAACCAACAGCATGACTAAGACGTTCACCCTGATAACCAACAAAAAAAAAAAAAAAAAAAAAAAAACTACAATCAGAAAAATGGACACACAATATAACAAGATAACTTTTTAATCTACTCCTATACATAATACCAGAGACTGCTTTATGTCTTTGTCCCACTGGTCAGTGTTCAAATTCAGGTAAAAGAATTTCAAACACTTCAAGACAAGTAGGCAGGCAGATCCCCATCACCTGAAATTTCTGCAGCACATTTTTGGTTTCAAAATGTCAGACAAATTTTAGCAAATATTAATACACTTTCATTTCTCTGATCAGGTTTCTTCTATTCATATTCCTCAAATGCATTCATAATTTATCACATTACGTCCTTTTTTGTTACATAAATAAAATCTGATTCACATAAGCATCTGGAAAAAAAACAATATTGTGGGATTATTACCATAGCATAGCAACAATAGCATATTGTAGCATGATTTTTGTTAGAGCAATACAATTAAAATACTTTAATTTGGAGGATAATTCAATTTGCAATAATAATAATAATATCAGCATTCACCCTGTTATATTATATTTACTATATTTCACAACGTAGATAAAATGTTAATGAGTATTTTTTCCTTATTTGCAAATAATTTTCTTTACAATAATATTTTGATTGTTGCATGCTTGCATATTTATTGTAAAACACATTTTTGTTAGTACAATACCAATAAAATGCGCTATTGGTAAAATAAAGCAATTTCCAATTCAATTTCCAACTGAATACTAGTGTAGGGTTCGCATTCGCACTTACTTCGAAAGATCCAATTTCTTAGGGGAGATAACTCCAGATATATAAAATGCTTACGTTAGGGTAGATTCTCTTATTTAATTATAAAAACAAAAAATTTAAAATTCTATAAATACAAAGCAATGTGTATGCTTATGAAATAACTATATACAAAGTTTTAATAAATGACAGTTTTATAATCAAACTAGATCACTTTAAGGTGTTCACTCTACAAAAATAAAACAGGAAAATTGTACACATCTGAGTTTATGAAAAATATTTCTTTTTTGAGATTGTTAACAAATATATTGTGAGAAGCCCAGAAAATAATATTTGTAGCAAATGTGAATCCTGGTTACAGGAAATTAAGTAAACTAAATATCTGCAAACAGGCACTGTGAAACAAATACAGGTTCAAAATTAAGAAAAAAAGAACAATTACATAAAGATTAAAAAAAAAAATAATATGTACAAAATGTAATCCCATTTCCTAAAAATATTTTACTAAATACTATTTCTGTCCCATAAGAGTTGGTACACTTGCATGCACATTTCATACACTGAAAATATAGTGAAGAATTTCATACACTGAAAATAATGATAATTATGGAATAGAGGTAGAATTACTTTTCAAAAAAAAAACTTTGTGGAAAAAATTTTTTTTCTAAATCTGGAATAAAAAAAACATTCAAGATTAAACAAATTCTGTAGTTGAACATTAACTATCACTGTGGCCAAATCAAATTGAAAAAAAAACTTTTATGGTCAACAAACTCAAATTTGATCAGCATTTGGACAGGTGATTATTGAAAGTTTTTGTAAGTAGAATAATGTAGTCAATTAAAATCATACAATGTAAAAAAATTATTTGAGTTATTCACAGGCAGCTTTCTATTTTTACAGTATTCATGATGTTAAAATAAATACCAATAAATAAAAAAAGAAATTAAAAAAAAAAATTCTATATATAAGTCATTTCCTAAAATTACAAAATGTCACTTTCTTAGATAAGTAGGAATGATTTTACATCCCTTCTATTATAGGCTGTCATGTTCAGAAAATAACACATTGGGGATTTTTATGCTTGAAAAAGGCCAATATATATAAGATATACTAAAGATTTTTATTGGGGTGGGTGAGTTTCATTTCAAGAAAGATACAGATAATTTTTAAATAAACATGTCTCATATTATATTTTAGCAGAAACTTATGCTACAAAAAAAAAAAAAAAGATTTCTTTAAATCAAATAAATTTATCAAAAACATGTGATGCGAAATAATTTTTGAAAAGGTTTATTTCTCAAATGCATTGTTTGCAAAAGAAATTTTAAAAAATTGGTAAAGTATGTAAAATCCATTCCTCATTGGTTTTTTTTATAATAGAAAAATAGTTAAACAACTGGGGGTTGAGTTATTAAAGAAATAAGGACAATAATTTACTAAACCTTAAATTTATTTAAGTTAGCAAAGTAAAATTATATAGGGAGACAAAAAATATTTAATTTTAATTAATTTTCCCATAGACACAAAAGATAAAGAACCTTGGGGTTATTTTGGTTTGAAACCAAATTCAGCTAATTAAGAAAAAAAAAAAAAACTTGCAGGATTTTAACAAGACAATATTTAAATATTAAATCATCATTTTCAATTTAAACTATTATTGGATTTTAAAAAGAAAAACTATATTTGAAATTTTTCTTGATAACTATTTTTCATCAATTTACCATAAGTCACAATGGAAAACATTTTGAATCAGGGTATGGCACAAAATGATCCAGTTGCTATTACAATATACATTTGCCTATTATGAATTAAATTTAAACAGTAAATACCAACAGGAGAATTATAAAAAGATTTCTTGTACTAGATTTATAGTCCTATAAGCAGAACTATATAAGTCAACTTGATTTATTGGTACAGGGTAATTTAGCATAACAAGTTTACATATGTGAGCCACTTAGTGTAGATTAAATTAACTATAGTAGTAATGATTTGTTAAACAAGCTTGTTAACCACTACTCTGAAACACGTTACCCCGATTTACTCAACCGAGTACTTGGCATTATTCCATAAATAATTTAAACTAAGAGCCACAGCTTAGAAATTTGGAACAGACTTTGGAAACAAGAAGTAGTATTAGATAATGCTACTTCTTGTTTCCAAAGTCGGTCAATTCCATCAAGATTATATTGGTTAGAAAAACCTTATGATAAAAAAGCATTAATAAAAAGATGAAGATATTCTTTAAAAAAACTCTAGAGGCATGTATTGAAATGTAAGTATGAATAAATTTTTGTAAATTGGATTTATGCAGTGAATTCATTGAGGCTAAAGTTTTTGGAGAAATTTGAGAAAATCTCCCACTGACACTTTAATAAAAAATAATTTCATGGTTACACAACATTGAAAAAATATAATTAAATTTTAATAAGATATATTTTGTCCAATATTTTTAAAAAGAGAGAGAAGGTGAGGGTCAAAAAAAGAAAAATGCAGAAATTGATTTTAAATAAAACTGGAAAATAGCAAATCTGTCCCCAAAAGAAAAAACTATTTTTCTGCAAAATGAATTGATTGGTTATCAGCAGGAAAGAAAGTTCCAGGAATTATTTGGGTTATTCAAAGAATTTGAATAGTCTGAAAAGTTCTTTGAATAACTTTTCATAAAATCATAAAAAGTGAACTGAATCATTTGTCTCTATGATCTGGAATTGGAATGAAAGAAGTGAAGACACCTGCTCTGAATCCATCATAAAAATTCAGGATGTAGAATTAGTAAATATAAAACACTCCAAATACCTCTGTGTATGGATCAGTTGTATATAATCGCTTTCTCAAATCAATTGTTAAAAATGGCTTTAAAGCAAATGAAACTTGTAAGTCCAAGTGAGGATGATACCTCTTTGAACCGTGTGTACTGGCAATACAGAGTCACAAACAAGAACTGTACCAAATAAGAAAAAGCACATCATTTGAAGACAACAATAGGACTCCCAATTTTCCGTTTCAAATTTTCCTTGATTCATTTTCCACTTTTGGTAAATTCCATTTTTTTTCCGTTTTTACTTTTGGAAAATTTCATTTTTTCCATTTTTATAGTATTTTATGAGAAAACTGCAATACAATAAGCTATAATTATTAAAACAGCAAACAAAAACATAATTCAAAGTTTTATTGCATATAAAGAAATAGCAAATATCTACAAATCTTTTTTTAATGTTAAAATCCAAGTTCAAAAATAAATTATATGTAAAAATAAACAAAAATGTAAAATGACTAAACAATAAAACAATGGAATGTTACAGTGAATATCTTTGAGGTAGAACTTTTAATCAGAGCTTCTTTAAAAATACATTCAAATTGTTTTTTAAGTAAAAGTATTTAGATTGATTTATAATTATTGACTCATAATATAAAAATTACATTTAAAGTATCAACAGCAAATATGAATCTCAATAATATCTGAATAAAGTTAAACATTTTGACTAGAATTTATAAAACAGTAATTAAACTATAATAACTGAATCTTTGTAACAAAATATCAAAAAACAAATTAGACATTAATTCAAAATTTAAATAAAACAATTTATCCCAAGTTGAAATACTGCTCAAATTTAAAATTGTTAATTTCTTAATTTGGAAAATATTTAATCTTCAAATATCTTTTCTAAATCTCCATTGTAATACACTGTAAGTTGCTTGGTGTTCTCAGGGGTAAGACTTTCATATTGTTTACTGAGTAAATGTTTATACTGAGAAAATGAACATTCAGCTGGTAACAGGTATCCATATGACCTTTTTTGGCAAACTGTTCCAGAAGAGGAAATCTGTTCTTATTTGCATTCCAAAATGATGAGATATTAAAAGGATTTAGTAAATCATCTTAGCAATTCACATACATTTAAAATTCTTCAAGAAGATCAGTAGAAGGACATTGCAAGTCCTTGATGGCTGCAAAACTGTCTAAATCATGGCCTATACAGGGTAGCTGTCTAGGATCAAACAGGCGAGCTGCCTTGTAAAAGTTATACACAGAGTGAGTATCCAGGTATTTATTCAGTTTTGAAAAAGTTGTGCTAAAAAAAATCTTGGAAATTTGAGATAACTCTCTCCCTCTCTGTGTTTTCTAGTTCAGACAACGATCAGTTTCTAGGCCAAATGTTGAGTTTGATCTACCAGTATGCAAATACTATTTTACATCCTCCATCATGTTATATACAACACATGTAAGCGGGGACTTAGTTTCTTCTAAGTTTAT